CTTCAACGTTTGCAGTCTTAAGGGTTTGGGGATGCACATCCACATAGGCCCACGTATGCTGAGAGAGGTCTCAGTGATCTGGATACAAATAGGTATTTCCTCACTGTTAGCAGTATCAGAAAAAGAGCACTTTCTCTGAGGAAATTGAGAGGGGAATATGGTGATGGTGGAGGGTTCAGGAGAGCCCAGCCTGAGCCTTCAACAGCCACAGGTTCTAGAGCCCAGAATGGAATAAGGGTCAGAGCAACTGAGAAAAAGCTCTACTTCAATGGTGTTATGTTATGGTGATGCTCATTATGCATAGTTATTGGATACCACTGAAACTTTGAGTTCAAATGTTGGATAAGACTGGCACCAGAGGGTTCAAATGCACCTTGCCAAGGAATTCATTTGATTCATTAATCTGATGCCACAGTTAGTTACTGTAGAGATGAAGGTCATTTTCTGGATTCTTCGAAACTGGCTCTTTTTGCTACCTTATGGAGTTGCCAAGGAGTGTGAATTATTTGCAATGGAGGAGTGAAGAAGACCAAGAATATTTCATTTTCTGTTTTAGCCAAGACCTTGAACAAAATGATCTATTCATCCTCAAATGTTCAGGGAGAAAGGCAAAAGACATCCTCTTGTGTATTCTAAACTGGACATTGATCTCGCAGTTGCCATCATAAACTGAACCAGCATGTTGGAGCCGACCACATCTGAACTTTACTCTGTTACAAATCTCTGTCCAACATTTGTATCATGGGGGCATCTAAAAATGAATGCCTTCCCCTTGCCTTTTAGCATAATAATCTAAGGGTCAAAATACATGCTATGTTGCACTGTGCGAACATTTCCCTAAAGGGTGTTTTAGGGCAAGGACAAGAAAGAAGTTGCAATCTGAACTTAAAGTTCTCATGGCAAGAAGGGTAGCCAGCTGTTCTCTTCTACAGAGAACAGTCTTCCAGTTGAAGCTGTTCGCCACTGGAAGTACTATCCTGTCCAGATTGTCCATCTGTTGGATTATTTTAACATTCATGAATTTGCAGTTGTATTAAATATTTGTAGTTGTATTAAATATAGCCTCAAGAAGCAGGAAGCAAATATCCTATGGCTGGGATTACTAAATGTACAATATGAATGCCAAATTATTTCAATTGCAGACTATCTAGGGATTAATAATTTAAAGAAAAGTAGAATAGATTTTAAAAACCCCACAAGCTTGGCAGCAAGAAAACTCAAGTAATTTGTAAATAAAATATGCAGTTACATATATTTGGCAATTACAAATAAAAGCTGGTGTTAACATTATATTTTTTTCTAATAGAATAAATGACCTTATTCAGATGTAACAATAGACTATGGTTTAAAAACTGTAGTTTATATAGTTTGGTTTATTGTTATAGGAATGAATCTAGGCAAACATTGTGCTTACGTGTTTCCCCTCTCATTTCCTCCTTACTGTGTCTGTAAGGGAGACTAGAATCTTTCCCTTCTGTTTTTAACTAACCACACTGGGTTCACCTCTTTACCTCACATACTCTGGCCTGTTGCAATGGAAATGAAATTTCAGGACAGTGCAGAGAAACAAGTAGGGTAATAAGAGGTTTGAGGCACTTAAGAAGCAATCTAAGGGTGGAACTTACAAAAAAAAAAAAACCATTTTGAGACAGCTGGTGAGCACCTGGTGATGTATTTGGGGTGACACTGTAGCACAAAATGGGTAGATCCACCTGCAAGCAGTTATGTAAGAATGGCTCTGTCTTAACAAATGGCCTCTAAAATGACAACCATATGACTTTTTTTACTGGATTAGCTTTATGGGATGCAGAAAGACAACAAGAATGTTCCTTGAGTGCACCCAGGTTTTGTTTGCATGCAACACTAAACCTGTGATGTGTTGAAACCTGGTTTGTTGTTCTGTCTGAAACTATCTGCACAATCATCCATGATTTGTTAACCGATCACAACACTCAAATGATTCGTTATTGGTTTATAGTCTGTCTTGATTAAGCCATGGACTGTCATTATATCAGAGTCCAAAACCATAGCTAATCTCCAGCTTGTTTGTATAGCAGTTCACTGTGAAACAGAGATATGCAGCTTGAGTAACCTTAAAATGAATCTAGCTCTGAAGACTGACAAACCAGGTGGAAGAGAAACAAACCAGAAATAAGGAAAGCAAGCTTTGGCTTGCTTGCTTATGTGCAAAACAAACAATGGCTTAAGCAACAAACCATGCTAATATAAAATTTAGCTTGGTGTTCTGTGCAAGCACAGACATTGCTTCCTCCCCCACCACCCCTTAGTGCCCTCTTTGATCCGTTTCCCTTCCTTTTCTTTACACATAAAACCCAAGTTTTAGCTCCTTCTGCTGCCAGACAGTAATTTTCCACCTGGGTGTATAATAGAAACCCCACAGAGGATTCTTTAAAGCACAGTAAGACCCGTTTTGCAGGTTAGATTTCTAAGATTGGAATACTGAGTTGGGTGCAGGCAAGAAAAAGAAAACATTTATTATAATATTTACATCTGCACAAAGATGGCTGATACTGAACTGTACTAGAACTTGCCAGCAATTCTCACATGCAAACATGGCTAATATTTAGCAGCAAGTGGGACAAGTACATTTGTATGGAAAGCAGATTTCTGGCACAGATTTATTATTTTTGAATCGCATAGTTATTCTCCTCAATAAAGGAGGTGATGATAAAGCATCAAAGCAATACTAAAACTACAAGTTCAAAACAAAACAGCCTGCACAAAACCAAAAAAGTAGCCATTCAGAATCAAAAACCTTTCATTACTGAATGAACAAAGTTTTCAGAGTCCATTTACAAATGGCAAAAGCTCCTTGAGGGGAAAACTTCTCAGCTACAGAGCCAGAACTCTGATGCTACATTTGAAAAACACATTCTGCATTACACATGGATAGAATTTTGATTGTAAGCTGTCTGGGCAGGAACATAATTTTTATTTATTTTACTCTGTAACTGTATTGACAGAAGTTAGGTGTGCAGTTTGCAGGCAGGAAGCCTTGTTGAACCCAACATATGTATGTTTTTCCAGGCAGGAGAGCTGCTTACTTGTGAGTAGACATGGTACGTAAAGCACGGCTTTTATTTTATTTTATTTTATTTTGAAAGCTTCTATGAAGCCCCATTCACCGAAGCCTCAGGGTGGCTCACAACAATAAATAAATAATAACAATATAAAAACAATATAATTGGAGACGTCCTTGCCAGAGAAGTAAAATAAATAATATTAGCAATTAAAATGGTATTTGAATAAAAAGGTCTTCGCCTGGTGCCGAAAAACAAATAACGATGGCGCCAGGCGGACCTCTCTGGGGAGTGCATTCCATAGATTTGGGATGTTCTTTGAAGGTGCTGCTGCATGATCCAGTTGTGCTTACATCTGAATAGAAATGCAGAAACCTTGTCTTGCTTAGATCTGAGTAAGCTTAAAATGGTAGTAAGCATATTTAGCTTCACCCGCTGTTGCACTCCTGCAAGATGTTGCATGCTGGGAGTACTATTGCACTCATATTCTGCTTGTGAGTTTCCCATAGGCTGCAAGTTGGCCACTATGTGAACAGAATGTTGGATTAGATGGACCCTTAGGCTGACCTAGCAGGGCTTTGTTTGCTCTGCCTTTGGCCTCACCCACAGATTTAATGTGGTCTGTAAGACATTTCCTATTTTGCAGTTTGGCCTAAGGTTGAAAAACGTTCACCAACCCTATTGGAAAGCATCAATTACATCAGTGGCATTTATTTATATAATTTATTTCTAGCCACCTTTTGCCGGTAAGCTCCAGGTGATCTGCAGGCACCGACCAGGCAAACAGAGCCCCTGAACTGCTAAGTGGTTGTGACATCATGTACCTTAATACCATAACCTTGGCCCAAGGTATAACAGCTCTCCAAATATAGTGGGAACCATGCCTTTCATTTTTGCAAAAAACACAGCCCCTTCCCCTGGTCCCACCTTCTTTCCCTCAACAACAATCATTTGGTGGTGGTTTTCCAGCTTTTGCACAATTTTCCCTAACTTCAAAGGCTAAGTTACTAGCAGAAATATCTTTGCACAACAGTACGCTGATCGTTTTGTATTCTGAGACTTACTCCTTTGGCCTTTAGTCTCAGCCACCACTGGTGTATGGCTCCTGAGAGCTTCTCAGAAATAAAATTTGGCTGTTTGGATAAAAGAGGTACTGCTGCCGTGCCTTACACTGAGAATATAGTAACCTAAAATAGCTTGCACCACACTCTGAGAACATGGAAAAAATGGCCCTGTTTGTTTGTCATTTCTTCTGTACCAAACATTTGGGTATTACTGCTTTCTGGAGTCTAACCAAGTGGTGTTACCAAACAGAGAACTGATTCGCTGTGGTGCACTGAGCAAGTATTTTAACAGCTCTGTTTACTGCAGAACCCACTGCTCTGTTTGCAGAAGAGCAGGTTTCTTATTTCATTTTTTAAAGCTTCATGTGAAATTTGTTTTATACTAGTGAAATGCCGACATCAAGGAATACTTCCTCTCTATTGCAAAATGGGCTTTCTGTGTTCAGCCCGCTAAGACTCATTGCACAGTGTTGGTGAGAGTGCAATACGTACTGCTAGGGTCGTGGGGTGGGGGGAGGTTTTGCCCATCTCACCTCGGTTCCCAGAGGCAGCATTTTTCTCCCCTCTCTCCTCAAAATGACAAGCCAGTGTGGTGCAACCATTAAGAGTGCTGGATGCAAACTTCAGATCTATGCTCCAGTCCCCATTCAGCCATGAAGCCCATTGAATGCCTTTGGACCAGTCATGATTTTTGACCAGAAACGTGGTTGTGAGGATAAATGGAGAGCAGTAGAACCTGCAAGCTGCCTTGGGCAAGAGGAAGAAAGGCAGGATGTACATGCAATGTCGTGATAATATGAATTGCAACTATTCAGTTACAATGGAGAAAACAAAGCAGGCATGGAAGTAAATTGGGAAGAGTGTTAAATCCACTTATTTTCTCCCGTTTTTCCAGCCATTGAGAAAACAACCCTAATATCGGTGCGACCCAGCCTTTTGATCTGGATAACTGAATGGAAAACTGGCTGGAATATTCCACTGTACCAAAGAAGACCAAGACAGCAGACTGGGGATCAAGCTTATGCACATTCAGATAGAAAACCAGCTTACAACTCCCAGCATGTCCCAGCCAGGCATGCATATTCCTTAACCAGGATGCAGAGATTTTCATCTTGTTCAGTGCTTGAATTATAAAAATCTTACGTGGCCAAAGTTTGGGTGAGTTTGTAGCATACCTGATAATATTAACAGAGCCTTACCATTACCCACTAGTTACTTAGATGACCAATTGCATTCTACTTTTCTCCATTGCATGGTGAATTATGGGTTCAATAAAAAGTGAAAGTCAGAGCAAGTATAGTATTTATATTCTGCTCTCCTTCCATTGAGAACCTAGAGTGGCTGACAAAAACAAAATAATGCAAGACATTAAAACAATAAAATATACAATATGAAAACCACAGAATTAGAACAACCATTAAAATAAAAATTATGGCAGATAAAAACAGCTGAATTAGATATTGTCCTTTTGGTATGTATGTATACAAACATGCACATTGTAAGAAGATGGTAAAGATGTTGCTAAAGCAAGCACAAATCCTTCATTTAAGCAAAAACAGTATTCAGTAAAATTGTACGGCTTTGAAGAACCCCTCTTACATGACTCCAAATGCTTTTGTCTTGTCATAGTTATACAGATTTCACCAGCAGTTCAGAGGCCAAGTTCCAGAGTAAATGACTGGTGAAATCCAATCATTTCAATATATTTTGCACAAGACAGGTTCGCTAATATTTTTGCTTGCCTTATTACTTTGAGTTACCAGAAAATTTCCAGTGAAATGAATGAATAATGCTTCACAAATGAATATTTTTGCATGATCACTTAATTTAAATGTTGGGCTTGAGAATAATCTTTCCAATTAATTCATGTCTAAGGGGAACTATTATTCCAATCATAATGAAATATGCTATTGTCAGTCAGGAAGATAGACTAGACTTCTCACCATGAAAATGAAGTTATATTTAATAAGTACAATGGCATTTCAAAACAGTAGTGACATTTTAAAGATGGAAATTGAATTGAGATTATTGGTCCCAATTGTATAATGCATTTTCACACAAATTTATGCAGCAGTAAGTCCTACTGTTTCAGAGGGGTATACGCCACTGAAAAGTAGTGATGTTAGAGAAATCTACAACACATTAAAATAAGTGGAAATTGGTATGAATCTGGCCCACAGATTCTGCTGCAAACCAGGTATTTCCTGACTTGCATGGACTTGGAGAAGGCTTCTTTTTTGTTTTGGTTTTTACTTTTTGATTTATTCCTATGAAAATGGGTGCGTGTGGCTAAAACGTACATTTCCTCATAGGCTAGTGTGTGAAATGCAGAGGGGGTGAGATTGCGAAAAACCCAATTCTAGCAACAAAGATGAAATAAAAGATGTTTGACAATCTGTGAAACACAGACCATGCCCCTACTTGGAAGTAAATGTTCAGTGAGACCTACAGTCTAGTCAGCAAGTTTAAGATTGCAGCCTATGTGTGTTAACACATGTATCATATCAGAAATATATGGATATGCTTCATGTAGCTGCTTAATATGGCATTACAAGTTTCAGCCATTATATCCTGAGTGTGGCCTTTCAAAGAAATGAATGAGACCTTGTTCTGCATAAAGATGTTTAGGATCAGGATGCAAATCTGAGGGATTTCTTTTAAGAACTGCAACTATGCCAAAAACATAATATTTTATCTATGTCCATAGGTCTTCAGTAGTCAGGCATGTCAAGGAGATAATATGAGAATTGTGCTATAACTTATCAATGGGCCATTTTTATTATTTATGCATCAGATCTATTCATATAGTGCTGCCTGTCCTTCCACCCACTCCCAGCCATTCTCTGTCACCCTGAAATTTTGGCACATGAATTAGAGCTTTGCTTCATAGCAATGATGAATCACTTGGAAGACAGAACAATTGTACATCTTTTAAAGAGAAAATTTACTTTAAAAAGGAAACTGTGTTGATTCTTGCAGCAGGTAGAAATGGGACAGATCATAGAAAGACATTACAGATACTTTCTTTAAAACAAACCTTACCTATTCTCCTTTACAAGATTCCACCCAGCAGTCTGTGTGGATTTGTAAGCAACAAACTGGGCAAACTGCCTGACCAATGAGCCCTTTAATTTCACTGGTTAGTATATTCAGAGCACAATTTTCATTCTATTCAGTGTTGATGAATGGTGGTCCAGAACTCTGTCCAGTGACTGAAGTGCAAGAGATTGCATGAAGAAAGGCCATAATGGGTGTCTTTTTTCCTTTCTTTTTGGACAAAATCATGTTACACATTTGGCCATCGTTCCTATATATAGTTCCTGAGCACAGCCTTTTTCTAGTGCTGTGCTGTGCTGCACACGGTGATCTGTTATGTCATTCTCTTCCTGCTATAAACAGGCAGAAAGCAGCAATTGTGAATGAATCAGTGAAATAACCAGGAATGCCTTCAAACATGTTCTGTGGAGTAAATGGTGGCAATGTTCCATCTATGTTCTGCCTAATAGGGTATAAAGATGATTAGTTAAAGTCCATGCAGCCTTGCTCATTGCATAGTCATAAAAGTGCCCTATTAAAAACAGTGTGAAGGTACTAAGTTCACTGGGTGAGAGTTCGTTTTGTGAAATGCTGCAAACATCAGTGATCTGGTTCCACGGATAGAGGTGTGTGCGCAGCATCTGTGTGTCTGTGCTTTCTAAGTCAGTCCTGGCTGTTTGGAATGAGTATTTTGGATTGACTTGACATTATATTCCTGTCTGGGCATTCCTAGTAAATCCAGTTACTCTCTCAAATTGGTCAGTTTTCCTTTGGGGTGGCTACTGTTGCATTAGCATTAGCAACCAGACACACCCAACAATGAAAGCTTGCCTGAAGCGTATTTGTGCAATCTAAGCATGTTTACTTAGGAGCAAATCTCATGGCTTTCAGTGGCACTTATTCTCAAGTAAGTGTGCGCAGCAGCCTTCTCCAGCTTGGTTCTCTCCATACGTGCTGGGCTACGTTTCCCAGAATTCTGGCCTGGGGATGTTAGGGATTCTAGTTCAACAGCTCGTAGGCACCGAAGTGAGGAAGACTGGTATATTCAATTATAGCCTTGGGCTTGGAAAAGGAAGCTGTTCAGGATTCATTTATGTTCTGATTGCTTGTTTGTTTCATTTCTGGCAAAGCATAGTACAAACACCATACATTTAAAACATAACAGGATTGGAAAGCAGCCATGGAAATGCCAACAGCAGTGTAAAGATCTAAAACTGTGCACAATTCAGTTTTTAAACCTGAAGACTTTAAAAGGATCTCCAAATGGAGTGCAAGGAAAATAGGGAGGGTGCACTAGCAACCAGGAGGCATCCTTACTGATTAATTTGTCGTCCTGTCCAGCAATCTGCTGTGCCCATTTGAGTTGATCTTGCTTGCCCCATTATCTGTCGTTTTCATTTCCCTACACCAGCATGCTGCCTGCTTTTTAAATATTCCCATCCCAACTTAAAGAATGTATAGGAGCTCAATGTTGCTAAAGAGCTTATGCAAGTTAATTACTCTGCCTGGTTAATCCTATGTAATGCAGATTAGCACTGTCAAATATTGCTGCAATCAACCTGCTCTCAGTCAGGCCTTTTGAAATCAGACAATCATCTGTCTACAACAAGCAGGAGAATGGGCTCTGCTACAAGGCAAATGGTGCTACAGTGAAGCTAAATACATGGTAGATTTGACTGAAAACTACATAATATGCAAATAAAATAGGATGTCTGTATCAGAGCTCTGCACAAATGACCTCCCTAAATTCTTTAAAGTAGTCATGAACAGAGAATTCTTGGGGACAATTCAGCATGTTTTTTCCAGGAGGAGGAGAAATTCTCAACAGTTTTTCATGGCACAATTGACAGTGGTTGCAGCAAAGCCTCTTCTCCCCTCTCTGCCACCCCTGCACCTACTGGCCAGAACCTGTAAACATGGGCACATCCCGCTACTGCAAGTGACAGCACCCTCAACTGTGTTGGCAGGATGGTCTGCATCCACAGGAGTGTGTGGGGGGGCTGGGGCAATGTTATCTTGCTCCAAGGAAGAGGTGGAGCTTATGCTGAGCCAAAAATTGTCCTCTGATTTCCTGAAAGTTTTCTTCCCCTTGAAAGAGGCTTCGTTTGAGATTATGCAAGCTAGTTTGTGCTCATTTTTGAGTGTATATAATCACTGCGAAGTGGAGTGGCCGAGGGTGTTGTGTAAATTTTTTTCTTTCTATTAGACGTCACTCAATTGCTCTGCAGCCTTTCAGGCTTCCTGGGCTTCCTGCGTTGAAGAAAAGTCCTATGACAGGAATTACCTCATGATGTTTCTCCCTTGATTTTGACTCAAGTGTGGAAACTAACAGGCTGCTAAAGATGCTTGCACACGGAAGAAAAGACACTGGCACAAACTCCTCAGCCACTCACTAAGATAAGTTCAAGAAACCCAAACATGAGAATTTCTCCAATGTTTTCTTTATCACTGGATTTCTTTTCAAAGGCAATTTCTTTTCTATCAGATTATATGGGAATAATTGAAGAATGTGGACCTAGAAAATCATCAAGTATAAGGACATTTTATGGTCAAGATAATCGAAACCATTGTATTCTCAATTGCAGTGCATGGATGTGAAAGCTGGACAGTGAAGAAAGCTAGCAGGAAGAAAATTTAAGCATTTGAAACACGGTGCTGGAGGAGAGCTTTGCAAAGACCCTGGTCTGATAGAAAGACAAACAAGTGGGTCCTAGATCAGATAAAACCAGAGCTTTCCCTAGAAGCAAACATGACAAAATTGAGACTGTCATACTTTTGACACATCATAAGAAGGCAAGACTCACTAGAGATGACAATCCTGTGAGAGAAATTCAATGACAGAAGATGAAAGAGAAGGCTAAATGTAGATGGACTGATCCATAAAGGAAGCCATAGGCTTGAACTTGGAAGAGCTGAATGGAGTTATAATGGATAGGACATTTAGGAGGGTTTCATTCATAGGGTCACCATACATTGAGACAACCTGACAGCACATGACAACATAACATGTGCCACTAACTCCCATCAGCGACATATGTTGCTATGTGGAGTCAATTACCATTTGGGGAGATTGTAACATTAGAGAAACTGGTCTTGTCGTGGACTGTGAAGCCAGT